ATCATCATCATCATCATCATCATCATCATCATCATCATCATCATCATCATCATTGTATAAAGCAGATATTCATATTCAGCATCAGCATCATCACAGTAATGTTAAGATAACAAATATCGTCACCATCTTAGTATTTTCGTGCTTCGCGAAAACTGTTCCAATATTAGTATTCTTAATGGTTAAAGGGGAACCAGTTTTTTTTCGGCTTTCTCAAAGACGCGGCGACTGATTTTTGATCTGGTTATTTTTACCTGCACAGATTGCATTGGTTCAAGGGCATGTGGAGTAACAGAAACAGCCACTGTATCAATATTGATGGATATTATTTGCTTTTTTATTGAGAAAAAAAGGATGTGTGTTGGGGAGTGGGGAGAGGGGATTATTATTCGCCAATACTGACAAATAAGCGAGGCCTTCTTCGTGTTAATGGGGCTTGATATATGTCATGGTCAACGTTAACTACTACAACTTCTCATTTACTAAAGGCGTAGATTATCGGCTTACCCCTGATATCTCATCACATTTTCGCACATGCTGCAAGCCCTAGACCCCCGACACCAGTTCCATATTGCCGAAAATCCTGACGATACTTCAAGCAACAGAAATCCATGCCCTTAAGCTCTTTCGCGCCAAACTCTGGTCTGGTCACGATTCTGCAAACGTGCAATTTCTCGTGTGGCCCGTCCCGTGACCGAGTCAGGGTAGTTTTCTTTGACCGTGGGCTGGATAATCGGATCACCCCGGTGCACTGTACACGCCAGAGCAACACAATGATGCAGCTGTACACAGAATGGGACAGAAACTTGAGTGATTATCGTTAAAAAAAATATATATAAGAACATATGAAAACCACTTTTGCAGCCTTTCATTTGGAATTAAGCAGACACTTCAATGATTATCATCCCAGATACGCATATGAAGACTACCTTTGCAGCCTTTCGTATACGAATGGAACAGAAACTTAAATGATTATCATCGTCAAAGATAAGCATGTGAAAGTTACCATTGCAGCTCTTCGTAAAAGAATGGAACAGCAACTTAAATGGTAATCGTCAAAGATATGCATAATGTAAAGGTTACCTTTGCAGCCCTTTGCATAAAGATGAGGCTGTCAACTCATTGAGACGCAAATTCTGGTCATTCGACAATGCCTGAAGACGTGCTGTTTTGGAAGCATTGGCAAAAAAAGAAGTTTATTTCCTTAATCATACAGATTTTTTCAACTCTGTTTTCTTCATCTAAAACTTTAAATGGCAAGCAACAGCTTGTGCATATGAAATGAGCTAATGCGTGTTTCTGTTTTGTGCATAATTGTTCAAGTAAATGTGTCATAACATTCCCTTTGGTATGCTGCTGACAGGATAAATAATAAATCTTCGTCTGCTACACCCTTAAAGGGTTCAATTTACCACTACCCTGTCTCGATGGGTACAATGTAACTCAATACAAAGGTTTAAGACGCAATATAAGTCTCAGAATCCCCCCTCGTAAAACACTGGGTCAAACAAGTTCCTTCTTCCCAATGTTCAAGATTTACTAAGAAAGACAATAAGCTACAAAGTTGTTTTTCTTTCGTCAGTTTTTAAATTTTAAGTAAACTGATCTCTCTCAGCAAGAAAACAAATAGATCTGCATTTAGTAAACTTGAGGGCCATAAGATTATACTGTCAAAATGTCCAAGCCGACCACCCATTGTGGAAGAGAAAAGGAGTCTTAAACAAGTGTCCTTTTTTGAAAATGTCAATTTATTTATGATACAGAGAAAAAACCACCGGGAAATTGGGAAGTGGTCATTTGCCCAGGTGATTGTTTTGGACAGGTGTTCATTAGAACATAATATTATTATTGGACAGTATCTGTTCAATAACATGAACCATCCACCTGGATTCGAACTACGCTCTCTGATCTTTGTCGGCAAATACACCCTTTGCCCCTGCCCAAGCCTCTCCCGTTCACGGTCGTTGCTCGCTGACCAGAACCCGACTGGACAGTTGTTACAATGCTATATCGCCAGGCCCACTCAAAGCTCATAAGGCCTAAGTTGCATTAGGCTGATCAGTTGGATTACTGAGGCTCTTAGAGCAAGCAGCTGAATGTGACAGAACTGCAAGTTCTTTCGTGGAATGGTAACAATCGTTTTACACAGTTTTTATCATATGCCTTTGCAGCTGACTTTTAGGCTAAATACTACGGAAATTAATTTCATTTTAAAACCGTATTTTATTTACTTCAAAGAAATTGTGATATGATCTTCAAGCAGCTAATGCACTGACCTAATTTCTTTCACTAATCACAGAATGTAGGGACACTCATTTGCATTAATTGGGAAAGCTCTGACTTGTGGATAAAAATTACACGGATACAGTGGTGATCTCTCAAAATACATCTATTTGATAGTCAAGATAAAATGCCAGGCTGATGATACTCCCGTTTTGGAACTTTTGTGAGCGCTTATATAGAAAGAGTACTTGCCTTTGCTACAGAACTCTCTTGCTCTCATCCTTAAGGTTTTCAAATCCAAATCGTATTTGTTGGTTCCAGAAGATGCAACATAATATGGCACTTACGCAAACCAATTACAATTTCCTTGTGTTTGAGAAGACCCTAGATATAATGGAGTCATAACAACAAATCAGTAAAGACCCTGCTATCCTACTCTTTCGGGAATTTTCTGTATTGTGTTAAGGGATAAAGCTCAGATTCCACCAACTACTGACCGTTAAAAGATCCACGTTTGGATAAACATGATCTACCATACACAACAACTGGCTTTGATGACAGTACTTCTAAATGTATGCAATCCAGTTGTGTGTGTGCTTGTGCGCGCCTATGTGTGTGTGTGTGTGTGTGTGTGTGTGTGTGTGAGTGTGAGTGTGTGTGTGTGTGTGTGTGTGAGTGTGTGTGTAGGTGCGTGTGGGTGTGTGTGTGTGTGTGTGTGTGCGTGTGTGTGTGTGTGGGTGTGTGTGTGGGTGTGGGTGTGTGTGTGTGTGTGTGTGTGTGTGCTTTACCACAAAAAATGTGGTGCGGGATACAGGTCGGTACATAAGACATAACTTATACGGTTGAACAAATTTGTTGATTAGTATAACCAGCACCATGCTACTCGACAACTAACTAGATCTACATTGTAAACTCTCCTTGTCGTAGTACTCAATGCCAGTCCGAAGTGAGCCTTTTTAGATGCACCTTGTGTGATCAATGTTGGAGGAAAACGTCTACAAGTTCAGAACAGCGAGGCCGATAAGAACACATCTCATAGAGCTGTTGTAACATAGTTTTCTGTCAACTCCAAAAAAAAATAGAGAGGAATCAGACAGAAAAAGAGACAAAGCAATAACAATAAAAGAAGGGTGATAAGCCGGCGAAAAAATGTTGCTTTAGAGATGTCGCTCAACGAACAATATGAGCTCAGTTCTTGGGCTCGGGGCCTTTATCTTTGCTGTATCTTTGTGTTACATGGGCCGCGGGTACACAAGATTAAAACAGGGTTATTTCTGTCATTGTTCCTGCTGTTCTTTTCAATAGCAGTACAAAGTATTGTGTTGTTGTTGTTGTTGTTATTGCTTTTATCCCAACTGCTCTTGTTGTCGCTGTTGTAGATGATGTTATTGTTGTTCGTGGTGGTCGTGTTGCTTTTGTTCTTATTGTTGTTGTTGTTGTTGTTGTTGTTGTTGTTGTTGTTGTTGTTGTTGTTGTTGTTGTTGTTGTTTTTGTTCTTAGGTTTGATGCTGTGGCTACTGAAACTGAACTACTGTCATCATTGTGTGAGAAGTTAGTCTATGGCGTGGTTGGTTTGGGTACATTTTTGTCATATTCAGTTATCCCCCTACCTCCTCCCCCCCCCCTCTCTCTCTTTCTCTCTCTCTCTCTCTCTCTCTCTCTCTCTCTCTCTCTCTCTCTCTCTCTCTCTCTCTCTCTCTCTCTCTCTCCCCCTCGCCCTCTGTTTCACTATCTCTCTCTCACTCTTATTCTCTTTCTCTTGCTCTCGCTCTCAACAATACCCCCTTTAGATTCTGTCTCCCTGTCTCTATCCCCTGGCCTCTCCCACCCAGTCTCCTTTTCATTACTCTCCTCCCTCTCTCTTGTATACCCTGCTTTGTGGTTATCATTCTCTATCTTTTCGTTCCTTTATCCTTTCTCCGTTTACCACCTTTGATTTCAAAAACAGGAAACTATTTTCGCTCTGAAAATAGAACTTCGAGGTTCCTGAACTCGTCTACACCAGCTCACACAAACAAATAAACAAGGATGACTTTCCCCTCCATGTCAAAACACGATCGTCCGGTTGAGAGAAAGCAAAGTTATATGCAGAATAAAGATAAAAATTCCTTTTTCACCTCGCCCGCGACTCACCTTGTAGCAAACGATATTGAAAGTCGTTTGGCGCAAGAGTTTAGCTTACCTTTTTGTATCCTTGCGTTGAGGAGAGCGGGGGCAAGGGGAGACTACTTTGTCTGAACAAGCGTACTTTTCTCTCACAGGGCTCACTCACTCGGCCCGGAACGTCCTGCACTCACCAGCATTCCAGGGGCTTCCTCCCGTGAGTTGAAAATCTTTTCAATTTCACTGTTTTCTGTTCTTTGAAATATATGTTACGACGCTGTGGAATCAGGCTCTCGTCAATTTTGGGACAAGGAGTAATTAGTATTACTTTGAAGTTTGTTCATTCAGTGAAAAAATACGCATCTATCTTGTAGCAAAGTCAAGATATTTGCGATTGAAAGAGGTGTGGGTCGCCTGGTTTCAGAGTTAAAATTAGCGAAGAAATTGCCTCCGAAGTTTGGTGACTCCCATAGTTTGAGAGCACTTGAAAAATGCAAATATACTTCTTTTTTTTTTTGGTGGTGCCTTTAATCAATGTTTTTCAGTAAAAATCCACATAGAATTGTGTTTTTATGGAACATAGGGGTGTTGACAAAGAAATCGATACAAAATACAAAACGGGTAGAAAAATGCCGGTTTCTTCGATTTCACTAGTTTGATGAGCGCCTGTTTTCACCACGATGCCTCACATAATATGTGTAAAGTCTTTATATTACGCCCCTGTCGACTTTATTTAGATAATTTAGGAGAAGGTTTCAACCACTATACGTATGTTTTTCAGTAGGAATTGGGGGATGGGGGGGGGAGGGAGAGATAACCAGGACTGGACGGGATAGGTTCCAGTTTAAAGAAGGAGATGCTCGATAGAATATATCTCTCACCTCGGAATTATACCACCTCTTTTGCTTGCTTGCAAAAGGAAAAAACTCCAGCTTTATTTTCGCTTATTTTGTGCTGTAGGTATAATTATAATTTGTTTGCATCTAATAGCTATTTATACTTATTTTGTAAAGGATGCATTTCTTTTGTCAGAAATATTAGTTTATTTTTAGAGTTTTTCTAGAATTGTGCATAACTAAATAAGATAGTTTTGGTCACAGAAAAAAGGTTAGACAGAAACGTAAACTTGAAAATGTCTAGCTACAAACAAATTATTTTTTACGACTCATATTCTGTCATACACTATTGCACGAGCATTGAAATATTCTGCTAATGCCTTCGCTATATCAATGATAGTACATAACAAGATGGGCCACTTCTCTCTTTGAGCCAATTAAAAAAGTGTCCTCCAAATTTGGTGGCGCCCTCTTCACAAAAGCGCACTCTTTGCGAACAGAGTTACCCTACTTGAGTTTTAAAAAATCAAAGTGAAACTAGCAAGTTTTGGGATAAATTTCGGAAGAACGCTTTTTTTAAATGGTTACGTTGACAAAAAACCTCTTCCGGAGGAAAGGGTGATGGTTTTCTTTGTTTAATTTGACTTTAGAATGAAAGGCGAGAGGTCATTAAAATATAAAAAAAACTAAAACTCCGCACTGAACGTACCCGAACTGCTGATGAACAGCAGTCGATCTGCGCACGCAAGGAGGTGCTATTCCTATTCTTCTTCTGGAAAAACGAAAGAGAGCTTCAAAACAGACTGCAGCGCCATCTGAAGCAAAGAGCATACTTCCTGCGGACACTTTTTTGGCTGAGTGGCCCATCTTGTTATGTATTATCATTGGCTATATATACATGTATCTCCATGTGGAATCTTTTATTTCAGTTTAAATGGTGTACGGAAATAGTTATCTTTTGCAATACCCAACAATGATCCTTGTCGCTATCAAACTAGTATTCTGTTACGTTGTACTGTTTCACTGTCTGTAATTACACATGGCGTCTCATCTGCTTCAGCTATTGTTGCCCCCCCCCCCCTCTAAAATTGTCCTTTTTATAATCCCCCTCTTCCTCTCCTCCTTCTCTCCTCCTCCTCCACCTCGTTGGACACAAGACGTTTTTCCGGTCTGCTCCTGTCTTAAATTTTCGTACAACACTTATACTCGGTTACTTTTCTAGCGATTTAAGCACCTGTGCTGGACTAGTTTCAGATTACTTTCATTTAGTCATAAAACAGAGTAAGAAAACTTACAAATTATCTTCTTTGGCTTCAAACTTAAAAAAACAAAAACAACATCTATAGTACAAACCTTTGACCTACTTTTCATTGAGACGATATCTGTGAGACCGAGTGAAATACCCTTGTAAACAGACCACAGAGATAAGTTGACTTATGTGTTTCATCTAAGCACAAAACCCAGCTTTGCCTTGGCATTTTTTTAAAAATGTAGTTTTCTCTGGAAATGAGGAGTTTTTGTATCGCAAGCGGGAAAAATAGTAGCAATGCATGCCTCGCCAATAGCAACCCTCCGAGCTATTTGCCTCTTATCTGTTCGGTATTTTTGGAAACGGCAAAGCATTCCCAGCCAAAAACAAATCCTTGAGGGTAGCGATTGCACGCTCCTTGTAAATCGTTCTAATACTTGATGTATATCTCACTTTATCAGCGAGTGCAGACAACAGTCAGCGAATGCTAGTTGGAGCAAAAAGATGATGTACTGTGAGAACGTTTTCTGGCATATTTCATTTTTTTCTTAAACCGAGGACTAACATTTTGTGAGGGTTTTTTTAGGCAAACCTCACATTATTCTCTCAGTTGCCATTTTAATGTAGCACGTATGAAAGATTTAGAGTAAAACCGTAGTTTGACACCCAGCAGCAACCACAAACTGTAAGTAGGAACATCGTGGTTCTACGAAAATGTCAGGGTTTAACTTTAATGCTTGAAATACATGTGAAGTTTGCTTCAAAACTACTTATTTGTGGGTGTCTATCAATTTTGACGTTTGCTGAAAGGTTTTTCGAGATGTATCCAGAAACACAATTGTTTCAATCGTCTGAAAAACGAATGAAAAACTACAGAATCCTAAAGATATAAACTATAGAATAAGCACATTGCAGAATATAATTAGTTCTCAAACTATTTTGACAAATTAATGTTTTCATTTGTTTGATGATGGCGAACAATAATTTTGGCTTTTAGTTAACTGTTTAGCTCTTTCTAAACATCAATTTTGGTCGATTTACTGCTTCAAGAGTTTTGTTTTCCAGGCTAACAGATTAATTCAATCAGTCAATTGCATCCCTAATTCCTGAGTATGTTAACGAACTAAAATGGGTCAGAAGATGGCGTATCCGCAGAATCCCCTTATCTGCTGGGGCCACGGGTGATAAACATTAGGTATGTGAGTCGGGTACGGCGTGATAAACTATCGTTACAGAGGGCGAGCATTTCTGGGCTAAGAGCGTCCCATTTGATGGTTAAGGAACTGAGGGAGGGGGGGGTATGTGTACCGCTTTGTGCTAGATTTTTGACGAAGATCGTATTTTATTATTACATAATGTTTGACTCCTTTACTTGAGATACTGAAAACGAAACATCGCAGAAACTGTGGTTGGGCGCAGCAGAATCGTTTGTACACCTTTGATGGTTATAAGATAGAAGGGGAGCCTTGTTCATATAATATACTGCATTATGCTTCTTTACAAAGATCGTGCATTACAAAGTGATTCACGCATTTATTTGAGATAGTAAGGATAAAATCTCCGAAACTCTGAATGGACGAAGTTTGACTGTATGTTATACAACAGAAGAGGCCTTGTTCATACACCACATTGTGTTAGATTTTTTTTACAAGGATCGTACACTGCAGGGCGATTCACTCCTTAATTTGAGATAGACCTTTTTTTATTTTTCGAAAAAGCTCAGAAACTCACGAGTTGACGCAGCTTCATCTGTACACAGGAAACGGAAGTTATTTCGGCTAAATGCTGATGTCTCGTTAAGTCTAGTGGAATGGAGCAGAGTTTATTCAGTGCACGCTTATATCGGGTTTCCGTCAGTTTGACGGACATCTGTTTACGACGGGGGTCTTGGGTGATAAAGACTGATGACCTTGGTGTCCGTCTGTGTGTGACAGCCCACAGTCGCGCTATCTCCAGCGTGGGAGAGGTCGGGGGTGCTTCTGGTGCCCCCCCAGCCGGAACAGCGTGAAAAATTCGCGGCTTCCTCTCTCTGAAGAACTACAGAAATTGTGTACGATCATTTGAAAAATAGACAGTCAGTCAATTGATAAGTACGAAATGACCAATTGAATATTTATTTTCATTTTTATACACATCATATAATCATTATGTATAATATACATATGTGTGTATGTATACAAGTTATTTGTGTGTGTGTGTGTGTGTGTGTGTGTGTGTGTGTGTGTGTGTGTGTGTGTGTGTGTGTGTGTGTGTGTGTGTGTGTGTGTGTGTGTGTGTGTGTGTGTGTGTGCAACCGCTCTGGGTAATGGTTGTAAGGGTTTGTTCGTTCGTAGATTAATAAAATGTGGAGAGAAAAAACAGAAAGTTAAAAGAAAAGGGTAAAAAAACGAACGATTATTGAGAGAAGGAAAGGGGTACACACATGGGATAAACAGAGAAAAATAAGAACATGAGAGAGAGAGAAGAAGAAGAAGAGGAAGAAGAAGAAGAAGGGGGACGAGGCGGAGAAACAACTGCGCAAATGCTATCCAAACAATTTGTAATTCATATCATTGAGGTAAAATACCAAAGCATGCCTCTAAAGGTGGGAAAACATTGCTTAATATTCCTGTTATTTTTGCAGAGCGATAGGTCGTTCATCTAAGCCAACTTTTTTTTTTTTTTTTTTTTTTTTTTTTTTGCACTTGGGAACTGAACGAATTTAGCTTTCTTCGAAAGAAAGTATTGTGAAATAAAGACGCCAACTGTCTGGTTTCACCTTTAGTTCCTTTGGCTTGTAGATAACAAACTGGAAATTCGCCATTATTCCTCTTCTTTCTCTTAAAGAAAACACAAAAGGAGCCTCCTAAACTTTGTTGGAATTTTCCTCTGGACTTGTCTGATATAATCTGGAAAACAAAACGAAAAAAAACTTTCGAAAGTACAAAACAAAGGAATGTAACTCATTCGTATTCCTTCTTTCCTTGTGCATTTTCAAATTGTCTGTCTTGTATGCATGTCCCGGATTGAAACGGAGAGCATGTTGCTGGGAGGGGGTAGGTTTAGCTTTAAGGGTAAGTACTTAACTGCATCACATCATTCCGTAGCACTCTGCAGGTCAACTTAAATTTTTGTTTAGTTTGTAAGATAGGT